ATGTGGTTTAACTTTTAGGAGCAAAATTGAATTTTAGGAGCCATCCCAAAGCTCAGGGAGGGTTTCCTCTCTCCCCCAGAGCAGGTCGGACCAACAGCCCCCCCAAAAAAAAAAAAGGAATAAGCCACGAAACAGGAGGAAAGTTGTGCCAGGGGAAAGTTTAGGTTGGATATGAGAAAAAAATTCCCTCCTGGAAAGGGTTGTTCGGGGAGTCTTTATCCCTGGAGGGATTTCAAAGCCGTGCTGGGGATGTGGGGTCAGCGGTGGCCTCGGGAAATGGGTTTTGACTCCGTGATCCTAAAGGGCTTTTCCAGCCTTTAATGATTCCCTGATTTCCCCCCCCTGTTTGCCATAAGGAAAACTCTGATTTTTGCCATATAAAACCCGAATATGAAGCACCAGCAAGAGGGTTTTAGGCGGGAAATTGGATCCCAAATTTTAATCCCTGGCAATCCCATTATTTAATTCAAGGGGAAGTTCTGTAGGAATTTTGATCCCAAACTTTGCTAATCCCACAAGGCAGGATGTCAGTCCCAAAGTGCTGCCTGAGCCAGGCCTTGAATTCGGGAATTTGGGATGTGTTTCCTCCAATTAGGGTGGGATGGGAGGTTATTCCTGTTCGGGAATTCACTTCCTTTGCTTCAGGAGAGGAGGTTCAGGGTTAAATGGAAGAGGATAAAAAAATGAGGGGTGAGGTTACAGATTGGCACAAATTCCAACAGAATTCCAACAAAACCCCTCCAAAAAAAGCCTCCCAGGTGCCTCTGAGGGGGTGGCAGCAGGTAAAGAGTCCCCTGAGCTTGGGTGATGACCCAAAAAAAAAGTATCCTGTCACCTGTTGGAGCTCCCAGGAAGCTCTTCCCAGCAGGGGGAATGATCCTGGAATCTGCAGCTGCAGGAATATCCATCCCAGGGGAACGATCCTGGAATCTGCAGCTGCAGGAATATCCATCCCAGGGCAGGATCTTCCATCCTCGAGGGTTGATTAACCCCCCCCAGGCTCACTTGGGAGTTGAATCCCCTGCAGGAGCACTTTGGTGTCACATCAAATCAGAGCCGGGCGCGGATGAGATGCTGGGGGTGGTAAAGCTGCTGGAGGACCATCCCAAATCTGTTCCATCTTCTCCTCCCAGCCATGTCTCCAGGCCAGGACAGCCATTCCAGCATGGAACAGCTCCCTGCATCCGAGCAGATCCTGCAAACCTTGAGTGAGCTGGCCAGGTCCTTCCAGGAGATGGCTGATCGCTGCCTGCTGGTGCTGCACCTGGAAGTCAGGTAAAACACCCGGAATTTGGGATTGCTGGGCCGGCCTGGCAGGCTGTGGGGGATGGAGGAGGTGTCCAGAGTACAGATTGTGGCATCAGAGACGGGTAAATTTGCCTGGGGCAGCATCAAAGGCCAGTCCAGAAGTGCCAGATCACATCCCCAGAGATGACCAAAAGTGTGAGGGGGGCAGGAATTGCTCAGGGAATTCCGTGTCTTAATTAGCAGAGAGATTTAGATTAGGGAGAAATTGCTGGCTGGGAGGGTGAGGAGGGGCTGGAATGGATTTCCCAGAGAAGCTGTGACTGCCCCTGGATCCCTGGGAGCGTCCAAGGCCAGGTTGGAGCAGCCTGGGACAGGGAAAGGTGTCCCAGCCCGTGGCAGGAGGTGGAACTAAATTATCTTTACTAAATGATCCCTTCCCACCCAAACTGTTCTGTGATTCCAGAATTACGTGTCAGAGCTGAGGAAAAATGTGGGTTTTTTGGGGGGGTTTTGTCCTGACAAAAAGGCGGGATGGTGTTTTCCTGCTCTACCATTTAGGATCCCAACCAGCACCTTCCCTTCCTGCTTTCCCAAACCAGCTGCATTTTTATTTTTTGGGTTTTTTTTTAAAGGGCTGGAGAATTCCACGAAGTCTCTGACTTCACGCAAGGCAGCAAAATGCCTTTTTTTCAGTCTGCCAGGTGTCCACTCCGAGGCTGGGAGGAGGCTTTTCCCTGGTGCAATTTACAGGCCAGGTGGATTTCCGTTGCTTCCCCTTTTGACTCCGAGGCATCGAAGAGATGGCAGAGATTTGACGGACCATCAGTTTGTTCTCCTGTGCACATGGGCAGAGCTCGGGGGGGCTCAGGGTGTAGCTCTGCAAAAAAAAAAACCCCAAAAAAACCCAAAAAAAATCCACATGAGTTACTGTCACTCTCGTCTTTCCCTGCAGGGTTCACTGCTTCCACTACCTGATCCCCCTGGCCAAGCAGGGCAACTACGCCATCGTGGCCAACGTGGAGAGCATGGACTACGACCCGCTGGTGGTGAGGCTCAACAAGGACATCAGCGCCATCGAGGAGGCCATGAGCGCCAGCCTGCAGCAGCACAAGTTCCAGTACATCTTCGAAGGTGGGGGCCACCTCCCACCACACCTTGGGCCTTCGAAAAGGGCTTTCTGGCCTCATCTAAAGCTCCACGGCCTTGCTGTGGATTGGGGGGTTGGTGGTGGCAATGGGAGATCCCTGTGGGGGTTTGACGGGGTGAGAGAGCTGGGGATGTTCATCCTGGAGAAGAGAAGGATCCAGGGAGACCTGAGAGCCCCTCCCAGGGCCTAAAGGGGCTCCAGGAGAGCTGGAGAGGGATTTGGGACAAGGGATGGAGGGACAGGACACAGGGAATGGCTTCCCAGTGCCATTTAGATGGGAGATTGGGAAGGAATTGCTGTTTGGGAGGGTGGGGAGGGGCTGGACTGGATTTCCCAGAGAAGCTGTGGCTGCCCCTGGATCCCTGGGAGTGTCCAAGGCCAGGTTGGAGCAACCTGGGATAGTGGAAGGTGTCAGGGTAGGAACTGGATGGTCTCCTAAGTCCTTCCCAATCCAAACCCTTCCATGATCCCGTGATCCCAAGGCTTGCAGTATCTGTGTAATCCCCCCCCCAATTCCCACCTGGCTGCAGACAGAGGATTTTTTTTATTCACCATCACACCATAGAGCCCCTCCAACAGCTCCATGTGTGTGTGTGAGGAGAGGGAAACACCTTCCCCCAGAGCCAGGGGGATCATTCCCATCCTGCTGAGCCGTGGGCTTGAAATTCCCAGAATTCCCACCCGCACTCAGGAAACACGAGAGGCTCCTCCTCTTAACCCCAGCTTTGGGGTTCCTGGCTCTGCCCAGACAGAGGGATGGAAAGGGACATTCTGCAAAGCCAGGAGGCATCAGAGGTTCTGCCACTCGGATTTTGGGGGCAGTTTTGTGTTTTTACTGAAGAAAGGAACGTTGAGAGGAGTCCTAAAATGCAGATCCTGAGGGCTGTTCCCGGTTATCCCTTGCTCCAGTGCACTCAACAAGCACTCATTCCTGGGGTTTTGTGATGAATTCTTGCCACTGAACCCCCTTCCTCCTCCTCCTCCTCCCCCTGGGCAGGGTTGGGCCACCTCATCTCCTGCATCCTCATCAACGGCGCCCACTACTTCAAGCGCATCAGCGAGTCGGGCATCAAGAAGATGTGTCGGAACATCTTCATCCTGCAGCAGAACCTCACCAACATCACCATGTCCCGGGAGGCCGACCTGGACTTTGCCAGGTGAGCTCCTCTGGGGCATGGGCTGTGGGTTGAACTTAAACTGGGTGAAATTTGGGTGAAATAACGCCCAGGTGGGTTATATTTTGGCTGGTTGAAGGCTGGCGCTTTTAGCAGCTCCCCAGGAGCAGAGTCTGTGAAACCTCAGGGTGAGCAGATAAAGGTGGGCTTGAAGGAGGGGGGGGGAGGGGTCTCCTTCAAGTTCTGCTGATCTTTTTTATTATTATTCTCCCCCCAGATCTAGTTGAGATGCTAAATTAGCCCAGTTTTTCTTTTTTTAGCAGGCAGGACAGAGCTTGAGCCTGTGCTGGCAGCCCAGTGGCACCCAAAATCTTGTGTCACAGCTCCAGTGCCTGCCCACCCTTTCCATGAAGGAATTTTCCCTGATATCCAATATCCAATCTAAACCCCCTCTGGCACAACTTTGAGGCCGTTTCCTCCTGTCCTGCCCCTTGTTCCTTGGGAGAAGAGCCCCATTCCCACCTGGCCACAGCATCTCTGTGGCCCCCTGGGGCGCAGATTTCTTCTCATCATCATAAAAATTCATCAGCTCTTCTTTTTAGCTCTTATGGCATCGCTTCCCTCTTCCTTTTAGGGCATAATTCCATGATCTAGAGAGTGTGTTTGATTCTTCTGTCCTTCAGGTGACTCCTGAATCCTCATTATCCAGGTTCTTTCCCATAAACGAGGCCCTGGTGCATCCCAAATCTCACCCACCTGCACCTCCTGCTGACTAGGGGGAAGAAATTCCCTCCCTGCTTCCCTTCTCCAGGGATTTGGGAGATCCTGACTGAACAGGAGAGAGGAGGTTTCCAACCCTGTGTCCAGGACACCCAGGGTTCAAGGATCAATTAGCCCCCAATTAACAATCAACACAGCGCTCTTCACACTTTCAGGTCCCTTTCAGGCATTAAATCTGAATTCTGGGATGGGTTTTGTGTGGTCTTTTCCTGCAAGTGAACATTATCTGAAGCCTGATATATCCAAATTTATGAGTCAAGGACTTTTAGGACTTCCCTGGGTGTCCTGCATTTGATTCTGCTTTTATTTTTCCCCTTTGGATGTGATTTTCAGGGCTTTTTAGGGGGCTCAGAGAGCACTGGGCATCCCCTTTCTTGTCTGCTCAGTAGAAACCCCAACCAGGAAAGCCAAAATCCCGTGGAGGATTCCCAGGAGAACTTCCCCCAGCTAACACTTGTTGGTCCTGGGGAGGCTTTTTCTGGTTTAAACCCCATTTTTAACCTGCAGGTGACAACAGCAGCATCTGGAGCTTTGGGAACAGCCCCGTGGCAAGGGAAAAACTGGGTTTAAATGAGTTTTTTACTTTGAGTTTCTCGGTTCAAGGCAGGGGAAAGTCTCAGCAGAGCATCACAAGGCACATTTCCATTGGGGGGAAAAATAAAATAAAATAAATTGCCAAGTTGTGTGAGCTCCAGGAAGGAGGGTTTGGGTTTTTTTTTTTTTCCCCACCAGGAGAACAGGGTAAAAACAGGCTGGCTCTGGCTGCTGAGGTGTCACAAAGGATTTGTGGCTTTTTGCTAAATTTCCTGCAAATATTAATAGGTTTTTAACTTCTCTGTGTGTGTGTGTATGTGGGTTCAGTATCTGGGCCACAGGAATGGGGTTGGTCATTAGGGCAGCCACTGCTTAATTAAAGGAAAAGCAGGATTTTTCTCCCTGTGTAATAAGTCTGGGACTGGCCATGACTTCCAAATACCTCCAGATTTCGGAAGCTTCACCCCCTGAATCGGATTTATGGCCTTAGAGGGATAAATTCAGCTTCAGATTCGAATTCCTGTTCGAGCCTTTTTCCCTTGTGCCTTCTTTCCTGCTCCTCCTTTATCCCTACCCAAAATTACTGTGGCATCTTCATGCAAAGATCTCTCATCAGAGGTAGTAAAAAAGGGTGAGGTTTAAGCTTCACACTTGTCTTTAAATAAAAATTTCATTCCATTCTCAGCTGTCCACTGGAAAAAAAAAAAAAACAAACAAAACTTTCTCAGACAAACACCCTGGTTTGGATTGAGGGTTATTGAGGTGGTTTCAAAGGGAAGGGAGAGCCCGGTGATGAAAAGGGAATGTTTTGTGTGACAGGTGACATTCTGATCTCTGAGGTGAAGGTCCCTTCCAACCCAAACCATTCCATGACCCAGTGATTCTGTAACAGTTTAGGAGGGAGCTTGGATTGACTTTCAAACCAGTCTGTGGTGGGAAAGACCAGTGTGGGGTTGGGAAGCAGTGGGTCTGACCCTCAGCTCTGCTCTGGTACCTGCTCTGCACCCTCATTTTATTTTTAATACCTGAGTGAATCACAGCAGCGGAGAGAGACCTTCAGGTTTGGGGTCTGACCCCCAGGTTTAAGATCTGACTCTCAGGTTTAGGATCTGACCCTCTGGTTTTGGTCTGATCATCAGGTTTAAGGCCTGAGCCTCAGGTTTTGGGCCTGGCCCCCAGGTTTAGGAACTGACCCTCAGGTTAAGAACTGACCCTCACTCAGGTTTAGGATCTGACCCCCAGGTTTAGGATCAGACCCCCAGGTTTAGTGTATGACCCCCAGGTTTAGGATCAGACCCCCAGGTTTAGGGTATGACCCCCAGGTTTAGGATCAGACCCCCAGATTTAGGATCAGACCCCCAGGTTTAGGATCAGACCCCCAGGTTTAGGGTATGACCCCCAGGTTTAGGATCTGACCCCCAGGTTTAGG